CAATTCTCTGCGCTTTGAAATTCTACATTCATTCAACTAAATTTACTTCAGGATTCAGTGTAAATAATATGAGCATCTTTTTCCCAGAATGCTTAATCCTTCTAATTAAACCCATGGAGTACAGTGCTTCCTGTGAAGCTAACAGTCGCTCAGATAGTCCAGAAATTGGTCGCGCCATAGCTCAAGCGGTTAGTCGCTGGCTTCCCACCGCGGCGGCCCGGCTTCGATCCCGGGTCTGGTCAAGTGAGATTTGCAGTGGACAAAATGGCGCTGGGCGTGTTTTCTCCGAGTACTTCGGTTTCCCCTGCCAATCTTCATTCCACCAAATTCTCCATCATCATAATCACCCGGGGCAGGCTACAATAGGCCAATCAGTGGCCGCCGTGCCGAGTGGACCCAGGTGGACTCCACCCCCCACTAGGCGAATTTAAAATTTAGAATTTAATTAGTGCAGAAATTCTCAGCTCTTCATTGAACTAGAAGGCTCGTTGCCCTGGTCGAAACAGCCCGCCAGCACACCCTATCATGAACCAGCAGAATAAAGGTCATAATATCATAAACTACGAGTATATATTTAATATCCATTCTAATATTATCCACCCATCTACGCCTAGATGTTCTATTTAGTCTCTTTCCTTCAGAGTTTCCGAATTTTTTATACATTTTTACTTTCCGCTACGCGTGTTATATGTTCCCCTCAACTCGTTCATTTGAATTTGATCGTCCTAATAATATTTTGCGGGCGTACAAATTGTGAAGCCCCTTCACTCAGCAGTTTCCCTTGTCTACTTTGGGCCCAAATATCTTCCACAACAGCCTGGCTATCAGCGAATATTGCAGAAAGTATTGGAACAGGCAAACCGGAAGAAATTTGCCAGCAAGCAGACTGTTACATTCTAGTACATGCGCATGGGTGCCGAGGCACCTACACAGAGCCTCAGGCCATACGGAAGCCTTGAGGGGTTCCAAACAGGGAGCTGGCGTGAAACCGCCGCCTGACAGCCTTGCTGACAGAAGCCAGGCTCAAAGTTATCTCCCTTCAAACATGAAACTATTTGCCAATCATCAAACCGCCTATGGACGTTAAGATGACAATCAGGGGCCTCAAGAAGGAAGAAAATCCAGATCTATGAGAGTAATATACGGTTTATCTTCAATTCTCCTATGCTGAAGGGTTCAACAGAAAAATAGACATATTCACAGAACTGCGGCGCAATATTTCGGCTACTACAACAGATTTTAGTCGGCATTTCCAGTCTTTTCTAAGTAGCGGTATGGCCGGAGTACAATATTTTCGAGACACAAACAAAAATAAACTTAATTTGGGCGAGAAATTTTAAAAATATTGTGGTATGACGCTGAAAGCCGGAAGGTAGCAAGTTCAAGTCCCGATGAGGTCATTGGATTTTTTTCAATTGACCTAATCCTTCCAGCCGCACTATGGCCCTGGGGTCGACTCAGCCTCTAACAGAAATGAGTACCAGGAATTAATTAAATAATTTTCCTGGGGAGTAAAGGGCGGCCGGCGCGTAAGGCTGACAACCTTACCGCCATCTTTGAGCCGATTGTCTAGATAATGTGGGAACCTCAACGTCTCACAACCCTATGGGCCTTCACGGCCTGGTACAGGGATAGCTTTACTTTTTTTGTGGTATGACATGCATAAGAACAAGTAGAAAACCAGTTGTACTGGAAGAGGATTTTCGTGGTTCTTTCAGACTTTTCTTGAGAATTTCAGGATATAAACTTAATCAGCTAAATGGCCGCGCCATAGCTCAAGCGGTTAGTCGCTGGCTTCCCACCGCGTAGGCCCGGGTTCAATCCCGAGTCTGGTCAAGTGGGATTTGTGGTGGACCAACTGGCGCTGGGGCAGGTTTTCTCCGAGTACTTCGGTTTCCCCCGCCAATCTTCATTCCACCAATTGCTCCACAATCACCCTCTCCTATCATCTGGGGCTGGTACAATAGGCCAGAAGCGGCCGCAGTACAATGGGACTTAGTCCCACCCAACTTGCAATAAAAGAAAATAATAAGATAAATCCATATTTGTTCGATGGGCCTTAATTATGGTGATAGTCCCATAACATTTACTCCTATGTGTCTAAACTAGTCTATGCACCTGAAATAAGGTAGATAAATAGCATAAGACTCGATCAATCAATCAATCAAGGAATTAATTATGCGAAAAATCATGCTTTGTTCCTATCACACTCCAACTTTATTTGTCTGAACCTAAGTTCTGTGTAATATGGAAACCCTCTGTGACTGCGTTCTGTTTTCCTAACGCCCTTAAGCATCGTTGTCTCTCTGTATTCACGACTTGAACACAACATTGAAATTTAATGAGTTCTAAAGGCTTGCATTCTGCTTTTAAGTCTTTAAGAATTGCTTGAAAGACGATAAAACGGAACTTAAACTAGAACACAGAACGAAAATTACTGACCCATTCCAGAACAGAAATAACCCCAATTACGTTGTTACAGATAATGCCTTCTCTACTTAGTTTTGTAGCCCAGAACTGCTAGCTTTGAACGCTACTTGTAGTAAGCTGGCACCAGCGAGGACACAGACCATGCACTTAATGCAACATATTTTACAATATTTATTAATCATGTATTTTTCCTGGACTGTGAACATCAGTCCAGTATTTAAGAATATTAACATTTGGTCAAGTCATTTTGAGTGTCGTCAGTGTTAAAGTATGTAAGGGAATACGGGGCAATATGGTGCCTTGCGGCGTATTTGTAAACAAATTTTAAAGAATTGCATTTATTGGCTCGCCTTCTCTCACGATCTATCTTTCGAAATGTCGAACTCGAGAACCGTTAAATAAATCTTCGAGAAATTTTATATTACCGAGTTTTACTAAAATTAGTCGACATCTTTAATTCTGTGTTAAAGTCGGGAAACAATGGCGAAACCATTAGAGAAAATTAGAAAATTAGAAAATTAGAGAAAATGCATGATTTGGGGGCGAGCGAAATATATAGAGCGTAACTCAATAATTATCTACCAGAACGAAAAATATTTCGGAGAAAAGTTAAAAAAAAAATTAAACATATATACAAAAAGAAATATTGGCGAAATTCTTCATTTTTCGAGACAATGAAACAAAAGTAAATGAAAACATCAGGGTTTTTAAGATATATATCCTAACTAATTGCAGTTAGCGTGGATCTACACCTTGGTTCTCTGCTCCGTTAGAATCATATGACGTCATATTTCCAATTTCCGTTGCAATTTCTTTCCGTTTTATGAGGAGAGGGGATAGATATGTTATTTCGTCATAGTTCCAGCACATCTTGATGGAAGTTAGTGATGGATAATAAAGAGAAATATGGCAAATTCTTACGATCTACTTTTTTTCCTGGGAGGAGGAACATTGGTAAGGGGCGTACGTGTACAGCTCTCTGAGTTAAATACAAAGAAGTGTCTAGCATTAATATAAACGTCAATCGACTTCGTCCAGTGTGACCGATAAAATGTTTTTTTTATTTCTTTCCTTTTTAATCTTTCATCCTTTACATGTTTCGGCATTAGAGACCATATTCAGCAAGATATATCAATACAGGCGGAAACCGCTATTACAATGTGATTTGTCAATATCAATACATACATACAATATCATCACAATGCTATGGGTATAAAAGTTGATCCTTTAACAACTACAGCAATGTGCATGAATATATTAAAATATGTATAAATTATTACAATTAATCTGTTTACAAGTGCGGTTTAAAAAGGATGTTGTTAAATTTTTTAGAACCAATTTGGTTCGTGTCCTTCAAATTGTCTCTCTGTAAAGGAAGTTGTGTCTCGACCTCCTCGCGGTTCCGTCGTTTGATGAACAGGACTCCTTGGTGTCGTCCTGTTGTTCGGGCAGCGCAGTGTTATTATAACACATAACCAGCATAAAATATTATAGGATTTCTTTTTTCCTTTACACTACAGCCACAGTGGGCCTAGGCCTACCTCCATGAACTTCTCCGATAGGAATATTTACTAATAAAAATTTTAAGTCCCAATAATAAATAAAAGATAATATTACAGAGTCTAGCCTCCATGAATTTTGTATGCAGACAGAAACATGCTCCAAATGTTTGGCGAGCCATCAGAAATCAGAAGCATGTCTTCGGGGTGAAGATGCGACTATCGTGACTGCAGCAAGATACACAGAGCCGAACGCCGATTATCCGAATTAATTACTGAGACGGTTGGTTGAGATACTCGAAAATTCGGCTAATCGGATTAAACTTTTATCCACGAAAAACACTATTATAAAACTATACTCTACAGTTCTCATAGAAAAAGGGTAAATTTGTCCCTGTGTTCAACTAACTGAACTCTAAACCATGAAGGCGCATGTTTATGTATAGTTCCATGTATTCGTGGCCTCGGCACTTGTTGGAGGTGAGTGGTTAGCTTCACGCCCCAACCGCTTTAACACTGGGGAAAGAGCCCTCAGTAATCATTGGATAGGAGGCTGGGTGGGCCCTAGAAACGGTCTGGATGATATGGAGAAGAAATTATTCTTGCTTCTACCGGAACTCGAACTCAAGACCCTTCGATCATCCAGCTTGTAGCCAGTCGCTGTACCCACGGCGCTATCCCGTTTCGACAGCTACAACAATAAAAGCTTAAAAACTTTCAAAACAGGTACAAAATAAAATATTAAAAAATGTAATTTTAAATTAACATTTTCAAACACTCTGTTTGGAAAAGTGGAACAGTGGTGTTTAGCCAACACAGTCCCTGGTTGCAGTGATTCGGTTAATTGTCGATTCGAATAATCGGCGTTCTTTTTTTTTTTTTTTTTCCTTGGCACTACAGCCTCAGTGGGCCTAGGCGTACCTCCATGAACTCCGTTCACTTCGGTTTTTCTAGATCTTACATATTCAGTAGGACTCCTTGGACGAGTGATCAGCTCGTCGCAAGGCCTCTACCTGTAGACAAACACAGAAAAACGCACACAAACATCCATACCCTGAGTGGGATTCGAACCCACGATCCCGGCTTCCGAGAGAGCGAAGACAGTGCATGCCTTAGACCGCTCGGCTACCGTGACCGGCAATCGGCGTTCTACTATACATATATTGTCGTCTCACTGTGGGTAGAAGGGACGCAGATATGCAGAATTCGGTTGAAAAATACATAAAAATTATCTTCCGAATCCGAATTGTTTAATGAGTCTGACTTTGCCAGAGATAAACAGTTTAATTAAATTTATTCAGCTTCGAGCAGTCGCCTACTACGTATAAATTCTCAGAGCCCGTCCCTGGTCTCTGTTCTGGACTTGACGGTTCCCTTCCAGAGCGTCACAGATCCCATCTCCTCAGTCATGCAGCCGCTCGTCTCTTGAGTCTCGTCGCCTTATTTTGGAAAAATAAAAGCAGGCTTAAGAATCGCCTTATTGTGTCCGTACATCCGCCTGTTTCCGTCTGACTGTCCATGCACCCACCCCCTAATTTTTGTTAGCAATCTTATGAGATCACCTTGATATCTGTGTATCTGTTCTTTTCGGGTATATGGCTGCCGGTCTTCGCCAGCACAGTCATTCTTAGTTGCGAACCCCACGAGACTGATTACCATATTTTTCTGTCTCACAACTTTGGAAGTCGTGTAACTGCGCGTCTATGTATCCCCAGTAATTTACTAGTTTTCTATGCGGTTCGTGTCCTCTCCGAGAATAGTACGTCATTAGTTCTTTCTAAAACTTCCTGCATATGCATGATTTAGCTAAAAATATATCATAGAGTAAATTTTGTTCTGTTATTGATGGTGATGGTAATGTTGATACATAACATGAGAAGTTCATAACAAATGGACTTCACCTGGAGGCTTCCTACATTTCACGTCAAGCGTTAGTATACTCACTCAGTTCCTAGGCACTGGGTATGCCAGAATTTTGCTAGCCCTTAAAATAATTATCAATTTTTGCGTAACTCTGCATCAAGTCGATTGGAAGTACACTTACTGGCCCGAATGAGACTAATGTCAGTCTTGAACTGATTTCGTGAGCTCTGTATAAGGACGGGTACACGCGGCAGGTCAAACAAAAGAACTGCCACGAGGAACCGGAGAGACGGCCCCAACTGTAGCGTGGTAAATTATTATTATCTTGTTTGTGACTTGGAAAGTTGAGTTCAGAAACAGGTAAACAGTTAGAGCTCAACTACGAAGGGGAAGTGAGATTGAGTATTACAACGGCGAGCAAAAACAAATGGTGTCTCTTAAAATCAACACTTACAGAATGAAATATTCGTTAGACACTGTAATTACCACAAGACCTACAGTATCATTATCGTCGCCACCATTTCTCCTACCAACACCATCTGTATGTGACAAGGGCCCATTTTGACGAATAGGGTATTCCCAGACTTGAGCCATCGTAATTAGGAGTTGTTTGCGCGATTTGCACCGAACTGGTGTGTTTATACGTGTCTGTATGTCTGAACTCGAAAATATTTGGACAGATTTTGATAAAATTTTGTGTTGACATGTCATTAGATTTGAGGCTATCCAAAATTCATACTTTTCAATTTTCTACAAAAGAAACTTGTGAGATGGCAGTAACACGAGCAAAATTGTATATAGGATCCTGAATTTGTGTATAACAGACGATAAAGCCTGGCTGCATGAAATCAAAATTTAGCTCTTGCTTCATCCGTGACAAATGAACCATTGGAATTAGGCATATGAGGTTTGATATGGCGATAGGTGATGAACATGCCTGCAAATTTTATAGTAAATATTTTCAAGAATTTGAGTGACTATAGACAGAGTATGGATTGGTAATAGAATTTAGTGAACCCTTACAACCCGTAACTACAAGTAAGGGTTATGTTATCACTGTTCTACATACTTCATAAATCACTATAGGAAACATTAAGTCTTCTCAGTCTGTCATTTTCTTCATTAGCCGTCGCTTGGTAGGCGCTTCCAACGGCGGACGTTCCCCCTTCTCTGGATTTGGAACTGTCCCCTGCCTCAGCTACAAGTTTCTCACAGCAACAGCTTCAATGACTGAGCCCCAGCGGTCCTCTAACTCAGTGTTCCGCAACCGGTGTTCCGCGGCACACTGGTGTGCCGTCACAAGGTGAAAGGTGTGACGCGAACTTTTACCTATTGTAAGAAATTAATAGTCGAATTTTATTCGTTTTATTTTATCCCAGTTACCGTGTTTCATATGCTTGTATTTTATTCTCAGCCACTGCACTGATTAAATTGTTTATTCTTTATTACACGCTGTGATTTTTTATGTACAGTAATGTTGTATTCTAAGAAATTAAACGTAAATTATTGACTCACAGTTGTTGTTATATCATAGTTTTCATTATTGATTTATTTTTATTTTCCTCGCATCTACGCAGCTTCTTTGATATGCTTGCCGCATGTTCTGTGTACGCGCTTTTCCCTAAAACTGCAGGGATTAGCATGGGTTTCCCTGTCTTTTATAGCGCTGTTTCGGTATTTGCCCCTGTTTGTTAGAAGTTAGAGCTTCTTCAACTTTATAACTTTCTTCCTGTAACGATGCACCCACCGATTGTTGGACTTCATTTAAAATTATAAATATTTCAAAAATAAGTCGGTATAGTGTCACTTCTTCCGTTTGAAGAGTGGAGATCCCGCGTTTTACAGTTGTTTCAGTTCTATCACAGCTGTGCCCTGAAGTAGTTCGCAAATTTTGGTTGTTAGTTAGAGAATTACAGATGGGTCGTTTGAGATGTCCCCGACTGTATGGCCACTTGTTGACGGTGATAAAATGGTGATGGACACAATTAAAGAACATTTAGAAATGCTGCAGCAGAAATTCAATAAGTATTTTGGAGAGAGTGTACAAGATTTCGACTGGGTTCGTAATCCATTCGTTGCGAATTCAGAGCATCTTCCGATTAATACACAAGAGGAACTCGCAGATTTAAAAGCAGACAGAACATTGAAACTAAAACTTCTCGAAGTGCCTTTGGATACGTTTTGGTTGGCAATAAGGAGTGGATACCCGGCTATCTCCGAGATGGCAGTTAATGTGTTATTGCCATTTTCAACTACATATTTGTGTGAACTGGGCTCCTCGACGTGAACTGAAATTAAGACATCAAAGAGGGAGCGGCTCAAATCCATCGATGAAGAAATGAGACTTGCGTTGTCAACGATTCCACCACGGATCAGTCGCCTGTGTGCAGCTACGCAGGCGCAAGTATCACATTGAAGGTATGAGTAGAATTACTGTATTTACTTTAATAGTAATAGAAGTGTATTTTCTACACTCTACAGTTAATTAAAGTTCATTAATTGCTAATAAATGCACGAGTCGATTTCTGTTTAATGATAATAAAATAACAATATAATAATATTATAGTAATAAGTTGATCACGTTACGTATTTATATTAATTGTCTGATATCATGCGTTTTTGAGGGGAATAACATTTTGGTGTGCCGTGTTGAGTCATGGATACTTCATGGTGTGCCGCGAGGAGAAAAAGGTTGCGGAACACTGCTCTAACTAACTCAGTCACTCCCTCAGAGTCACAGTCAGAGTTACTTTACGACTGGCGGTTTGCCGCAATTCCGTTCGTCTTGGCGCCGAGCCCCTTGAGGCTTGCAACTGAACCTTTGCTGTCATAGTCCTTATGTAACATCCTTCCTGACGATAGGATGAGACTGTCTCTCGTGAATATGTGTAAGAGCATGTCACTGAAATTTCTTCCGTTTGCACTGTATGCAAGTCCCTTGTCAGTCCAGACTTCGCAAAGCAGATCATGTCTATCTTACTTATTTTATGCTCCAACGGCATCTTAGTCACTTGAAAGGTCGCACTGACTTACTGTTAAAGTTACGTTACGACCGACGATCAGTCGGTCAGTCTGTCTTGGTGTTAAGCCGACTGGCTGACTCACTAACTGGCCCTGCTTATAAAATCTCGGCGCGGATCCGGTAGAAAACACCGTTTCTCTGTTGAAGTGAAACATGTTTCTTTGCTGAACAGTTACTTTATAACAGCTGCGTAACGGCTATTGTATTTTTTTATTGCTAGTGGGGTGGGACTAAGTCCCTTGTACTGCGGCCACTTCTGGCCTGTTGTACCAGCCCCAGATGATAGGTGAGGGTGATTGTGGAGAAATTGGTGGAATGAAGATTGGCAGGGGAAACCGAAGTACTTGGAGAAAACCTGCCCCAGCGCCACTTTGTCCAACACAAATCCCACTTGAGCTATGGCGCGGCCTAAAAAATAGGCTATTGTATAGTAGCTTATTTCGCGGTCGTTGTCTAGTAATGGGTCTGCATGCCACAATACTGAGTCTAAGAAAATAAATGTACGGGAAGAATCATTATTACTTGACGACTGCTACAGTGCTACCGCCCCTACCTAGCGTCGTATTACTGTTATCAAGTTTCTATTCATTGTCACGTGTTCTATCACGTGGTGTATGATATATATTAGAAATGGCTGCTGTATAAGTACATGAACTGTCACACTAAGACCAAGGCGTAGGTGGGAGGACAATATTAAAATGGATCTTAGAGCGATAGGATGGGATGAGATGGATTGGATTGATCTGGCTCATGATAGGCACCTGTGGAGGGATCTTGTGAACACAATAATAAATATCCGGGTTCCATAAAATACTGGGAAATTCTTGAGTAGCAGCAGATTTGGCTCCCCTTCAAGAAGTGCTGAGCTCCATAAGTAAGTAAGTTAAGTATTGTGAGGCTGTGCCATAGCTCAAGCGGTTAGTCTTTGGCTTCCCACCGCGGCGGCTTGGGTTCGATCCCGGGTCTGGTCAAGTGGGATTTGTGGTGGACAAAGTGGCACTGGGGCAGGTTTCTCCGAGTACTTCGGTTTCCCCTGCCAATCTTCATTCCACCAATTGCTCCACAATCACCCTCACCTATCATCTGGGGCTGGTACAATAGGCCAGAAGTGGCCGCAGTGCAAGGGACTTAGTCCCACCCCACTAGCAATAAAAAAGTAAGTATTGTATAATCACTCTCATTCGTTCCTTTAAACCTGCTGACGTTTAGTGCTGTACCTATGCATACTTCCTTTCTCCTGCTTTCTAAACTAAGGTATGAATAGTATACTTGAATATTTATACGTATGTGTTTGTCCCACCAGTTATCACTCAAAATTCTGTTTGAGTGTACAATGTGGTTTTTCTGTAATTAGCCTTACGGCCGTTAAATCGACACATAAATAGTAAACAATTAATTTGAGTCATTATTATTAATACTGTTATTATTATCATTGCTGTTATATTTACCTTAATTCAATTTTGCTTATTTGTTTTTGTTATTTTCCTTTGTCCTTATGTTTGTCTTCTCACTGTTGTTGTTGACATTGTTGTTTGTATTCAAGTTGACTCTGCATTTGGCCACCGGGCACTGAGCTCAACATGTACACAAATAAGGAACTGAATTGAACTGTTAGCCTTCGGGCTCTTAAGTAAGCACAAAAATAACAAGTAATTGAATTCTATATTATTATTATTAGTAATAGTATTATTATTATTATTATTATTATTATTATTA